CAGGACAGGCTCCAAAGCTATACAGAGAAACCCTGTCTCAACCTTGACCCCCAAAGAAAGCAGGCTGAGCAAGCCATGGGGAACAAGGCAATAAGCAGTACCCTTTGTGGCCTCTGCATCAGCTGCTGCCTCCATGATTCTGCCCTGTTTGAGTTTCTGTCCTGCTTTTTTTTAATGATGAACAGTGATGTAGAAGTGTAAGTCAAATGGACCCTTCCTCCTCAGCTATCTTTTGTTATGGTGTTTCCTTGTAGCAGTGGTGACCCTGGGAAAAAGGATGCTTCCATAAGTCCTGCCTCCCAGACACCAGTGTGAGAACACTCATTCTTGGCTCTTTACCTTCCTCTCTCGCTGTTCCCCAACTGGTCTATTGTGGGGTCATCTTTCCGATAAGCTACTTTGAACAGGATGTTTGGTTTGTGTCAGGGCTTGCAACTAGGAGACCCTAGCTAGCACATGATTAGGCTTCTGCATTTCTGAGGTGGTGTTTGCACACTGGTTGGGGGTTGGGGTTGGGCTAGAGTGGTTGCTGTGGGAGTAATCAGAGTGTGATGTGGTGTGGTGTGTGGTGTGGTATGGTATGGTGTTGTGTATACGTGTATGTGTGTGTGTGGTGTGTGGTGAGGTATGGTATGGTGTGGTGTATACGTGTATGTGTGTGTGGTGTGTGGTATGGTGTATTATGGTGTTGTATGTGTGTGGCATGTGGTGTGTGTGTGCACGGTATGGTATATGTTGTGTGTGGTATGGTGTGTTTGTGTGGTTTGGTGTGTGTGTATTCTATGAGGGTGACATAATGACAGAATAGAATTTTCTTGGCAGTAAGCCCATGGATCATGTTGTGTGATGCAGCATGGCTGTGAGGGTGGCTTTGAGAACTTGAAGGTTAGGATTTGCTTCACTGTGGGCAGCAAATGTGATCTCACTCGTTTGGTGCAATGGACAAAGGGGATGAGAAGTAGGAGAGAAAGGATGGGGGGTAAAAAAAGAATAAAAGAGAGGGAAGGAGGAAGATGGTGAGAGATGGGGAGGAGGGAGAGGAAGAGAGCAAGCAAGAGGGCAGGGAAGAGGAGAGGGAGAAATGTGTGCACCAGCCAGGTTTAAGGGAGAAATTAGGGGATTGCCAGGATGTCCACCTCTGATGGTGGCAACTCAGCAAAAAACTGCTGGGACTTTGTCTGGCTGTGTTGAGCAACCCTGGCTCCGCCCCTTCCCTTGTCCACAAAGCAAGCTTTTAAAGGGAAGGTTCTTTTCATTGAATGTCTGCCACAGTATGATGTGGGGCTTCTGGATGCTTCTCTTCTGGGGTGAGTGTGAAGTTAAATGGGACAAGGGGGGGGGATGGCTTAGATATGGGCTGGAAATTGGTGGCAAGGCATAGCCCTGGAGGGCACAGCTGATAGGATACAGTCCCAGGTCTGTTGCACACAGCAAATCCCTGCCTTGGGAGACTTTTGGCAAAATGTCTGGACTCAGGGAAGCCCACCCACCAGGGTAGATCTTCCTGGAGCTGATCATTTGGTATGTATGTGTTTGTGAGCCATCTCAGTTCTAGCTAGAATACAGCATTGTGTAAACACAGGGGGCTTCTAGGTGTGCAACCAGGTTTCCCACGATGGTGCAAGGGCAACAGGAGCCCGCACAGCTATGGCAACCATTTCTTTACCATCTTCATGACAGCACTTCATCTTCATGAAAACCCTTATCAGCCTCATCTTGAAGAGCAGAACCAGGGAGGTGTAGGAGGTGACTTGCTGGGCTTGGGTAACAGCCCAATGTGTAAAGTGCTCGCTGTGCAAGCTGAAAGACCTGAGTTTGATCCCAGAATCTATATTAAGAAGCCAAACATAGTGCTGTACACTTTCCTTCCTTTTTTTTTTCCTTTTTCTTTTGAAACAGGGTTTCTCTGTGTAGCCCTGGCTCTCTCTGTATACCAGGCTGGCCTTGAACTCACAGGGATCCACCTGCCTCTGCCTCCTGAGCTTTGGGTCTAAAGGCGTGTGCCACTACTGCTGGGGAAATGGAGATAGGAGGATCCCTGGTTCTTTATGGCCAGCCAGCATAACCTACTTGGTTTACTCCAGGCCAGTGAGATAGCCTGTCTCTAAACAATTAAGGTGGATGGTACCTGAGAAAAGATGTCTGAGATCATCCTCTGGTCTGTATGTGCCTGTAAACACACACACACACACACACACACACACACACACACACACACACACACACACACACACACCACACACACCACAATGCACATGGCACATACATACTCACAAATACAAAAAGAAATACTTTGAACAAGACTTAGCTAATGAGGGGAGGAACTAGGGTGTAAAATCAGTTCAGCTCTGGTCTTATTCAAGATGGGTAGAAGAATTCTAGGAGTGTATGAATTCTACGAGAAACTGAGCTGTGACTGGGGTTGTGGGGAGTCAGGGAAGTTATGTCCTGTGCAGGGACCAGACTAGGATGTGGGATGTGGGGGATGCAGCTTCCCTTCCTGGCTCCCGTTGCTTTAGTTTCAGCACTAGGGTGTCTTAATGCATGATCTTCCACTTCATTGTTTTTCTTGCATGTTTGCAAGATTTTTTTTTGTTGGTTTAAATTTAAAGATGGCAGATATAGATTTCAGAGATGGGGAAATTGAGTTATGGAAAATTGAAATAACTTTTCTCAGTGCACAAAGTACTCCTGGTGAAGACATAATTAAAAAAAAACCCAAATATTAAAAAAGGTGTGTGCATGCACACACACATGACTCTAGAGGTCAGAATACAACTTCAGGTGTTGGTCAACACCTTTTACCTTGCAGAGAAAAATGTCTCCTTGTGCACCAGGCAAGGTGACTCTTGGGCTTCTGGAGATTGTGTGGTCTCTACCTCAAATCTTGCTGTAGGCATGCTAAATTTTCATGCTTTCTAGAAATCTGAAATTAGCTCCTTCCATGGTGAGTGATCTACCCACTGCCTGTATCTGTGTCTGTCTAGTCTAATGTCATCATAACAGCTCTCTATATTATCTGTCTGTATATACATGTATACATGTATGAGTGTATGTATTTATGTATTTATCATCTGTCTATCCACTCATCATCCCCCTAATCTATCATCTATCAATTATCTGTCTCTTACCTATCTGTCTCTATCATCTTTCAATATCATATATCTATATCTCTCTATATCTTTCTATCTCATCATCTTTATCATATATCCATCTTTCTGTATCATCTGTCATATATCTATCTTTCTATATCATCTCTCTATATCTTTCTACCTCTCTAACTATTATTTCTCTGTATCTATCATGTATCTATCTACCAATTGATGTACATCAGTTGTCAGGGTGCTTTCACAAAACTGTGGATTTCTTCCTCAGCATTGTGTGTGTTGGTATAATCTCAGCACTAGGGAGATTGAGGGAGGAGGATTAAAGGTTGAGATAATCTTCAGCAACATAGTGAGTTTGAGACCAGCTTGTGCTATATGAGACCCTATCTAAGAAAAAAGACCTATGGCAATGATGATTCTCATGGCATTGAGGATGATAGTGATGAATTATGAAGATGATCATAGTAACTACACAGGTGTTGGTGGTGGTGGTACTGACTGCACAGGTGTTGATGATGGTTGTGACTACACAGATGGTGATGATGGTGGTGATGACAGGTGGTGATGATGGTGGTGACTAGAAAAGTGGTGATGATGGTGGTACTGACTACACACATAAATAGTGGTAGTGACTACACAGATACCAATAGTGGTGGTGATGATGGTGGTGACTACACTCATATCAATGACTACGGTGATGATTACACAAACTATGAGGCAACTTAAAGGAATATGTCGTCTCATAGTTTGTGATGGTGTGGTCTGCCATGTTGGGGAAGGCTTGGCAGGGTTCATGGTTGGATTCTGGGGCTGGACTTCTTTCTTCTTGATAGACTGTGAAGCAAAGAGAAGCATGACTGGAATAGAAATCTTCAGGCCTTCTTCTAAGGCCTCATCTCTAAATCTCCCCAAATAGCACTGTCATCTGGTGACCACATAGTTAAACACATGATTTTGTAGGTTAAATTTCACATCCAAACCACAGCAACAGGAACCCTAACTAAGAAAATATATGATCTTAAAATTAATCATCCTGAAGAAAATATATGATCTTAAAATTAATCATCCCGTTCTCCCATGAGATTTCAACCCCACAGCAATCAGTTTGATCTCAGGAGAATTATAAGTTGGTTTTGTGCCCTGTCGTCTTCACTAGTTTCTGAGCCAGAGTTGGGAGCTGGGGAAGGCTGGACTGAAGCTTGCCCTGGGAGCATGATTGCACTGAAGTATTCACAGCAGCTATGGCTACCTGCATGAGACTTGCACAGGGTCAAGCCAGTCAGCATTCTGGCCCCACCCCCAGCTGGATCTCTTGAGAGTTAATGGCTGCTGGGGGGGAGAGTCTGCTTGCTTCAGGGATATGCTCAGAAGCCCGCCTATGCTCTAGCGGATGACTCTATGTCCACATGCTTTTAGAAAGCACTTATTAGATTCAGTGGATTATTTTTTAAGTAGGGTGGTCACAGTGAGGAGAGGTCTGAGAGGAACTGTAGAGTAGTATGGGGGTGCATATGATCAAAATTACTGCATGTGTGAATGAAGTTGTCAAAGAATAAATTAAAATACAACTAAATAAATGACGATAATGGTATTTTAAGTTGGTCTTTGAGAAGGTATGAAAATCTGGGTTTGGTTCCCAGCAACCACATGATGGCTCACAAATGCCTGTAACTCCAGTTCCAGGGGCTCCTTCTGGTCACTCTGGACACTTCACCCCTTAAAAAGAAAAACCCTGGGAAGATAAAAAAGCATAGATATCAGGAGCACTTTGTGGAGATTGTGTAAAATGACGTGACTCCTCCAGTGGGGTTCCTACCAGCTTTGTCAAACTGCTTTGCATGAGGTTAAGCTAAGGCTAATTTTGCTGGTTGAGCACAAACAACTTATCAACAGTTCATTTCTTTTCCTCTCTTCACAGGATGCAGTGGCATACACAGGTGGGGGATGACCACACTCCCCACACTGGGTCAAAGTCTTAGAGGTAAGTTAGCAAAAGAGAGCAAATGACTGGCCTGAACAGGATGCTTTTGGGAGAACTCTCATTCCCAGCAGCCAAGACTCACACTTTGCCAAACTAAGCTACAGGCAAAGCGATGGTACGTGCATTCCCTGGTTCCTGCTCCAGGACATTTCCTTTGTGCCCTGAAATTGCTGTGCAACCTCAGGCAGGATACATAACTGGTCTGATTTCCACTTCCCTCAATGTGCATATGTCACAGGGTATGTCTCTTTTGGTATAAGCACCCCTCTCCCATATTCTGAAGTCTTAATACAAATTTTCTTTTCTAGCCCTCTGATCCTTGTTTCCAAGATAGTAATAGGGACATTAGGATGTGTTCTTCTGTTTTTAATTTTTTGAATGCCATGATCAAATCTGATCATTAGATGTGAGCTTGTTTTAGGTCTGTGTAATCTAGCTTTGACTGTAATAAATATGAGAATCCATAAATTTATAAAGAGAAGAGGTTTATTTTGGCTTATATTGATAGGAATCTCCGTCTGTGGTTAGTTACCCCAAAGTGAGTGGAACATTGTTATCTCTCTACTTTCGTACTGCAGATAAGAGGGACCTCTTGTTCCTCTCACCACACTTCCTCCATGAAGGGGCCTTTGTGAGCTATTTTGTCATAGCATCAAGGAAAGTAACTAACAAAGGCAGGGATCTGAAACTTATTTAAAATATGATACTTGTATTAATTCACTGAGAATTTCATACAAGGACATCATGTGTTTTGATCATATTCACCTTTCATTTTCCCCTCTGTGTTATCCAAGAACCTCCTTTACCCCTGCCTCCCAGCTCTATGCTCACATCCTTCTCAGTCTGTCTAGCTCTACATGTAGGCATATGATTTCAGGAATGACTATTTGGCAAGGGATAACAAATTGGGGTTTTTTTCCTTGGGAAGAATGATTCTCTCCACATTCTTTGGTTACCTGTACATCTTTAACTGGGATGGGGGTCTGTGAGGTACCCCCTTCCACATTAGTGTGTCTATGGGTGTCATCCTTGTTCAGTTATGTGTAGGCAGCTGTATTGCTGAGGTGTCATGCGTAAAGTGTCTCTGTCACTTCCTGGAGATAGGATCTCTCATCAGACTTCCCACTCCACTGGTTCCTGCAATCTTTCCCCTCTGTCTTCTTTGGCATTTCCTGAGCCTTAGCTGCAGGAGTTGTGGTATAGATGTATCCTCAGGGACAGGCTATCCCTCCATGATCAGTTGGTTATCTCTGCACTTTGACCTACTGGGCTGTGGTTTCTGCAATGGTCTTCCTCTGCTTCAAAGAGACACTTCTTGATGAGGGGTGAGGGCTACACTGATCAGTGCATATAAGGATATATTTTTAGAATCAAGTTAGAGATTATGCTGGTTTAGTAAAGTGGCAGTAACAGGATCTCTTTTAAGATCCATGACTTCACTATCCCTGGGTAGTTGGCTGGGTTTCCAGGCATGAGTTCCCTTCTGTGTAGTGGGTGTTAAGTTCAATTAGACAGCCATTGGTTACCTCTGAGATATGAGTGCCATTGATGCATTTTTAGGAGCATCTTGCAATTAGGGAGCGTTGTCAGCTCAGCTGGGACAACTTTATTTCATATGTATATAAATAATGTAACTACACACATACTTATATGTATTATATATATTTAGGTAAATATAAAGTAATGATTCTTTATGGCATTTCCAAAAAAATCCTTAGTGCTACTTGTCCTTCCTCTCTACCCAGTCTTCCTAATTAAAGCCCTCAGCTCCATTTTTCCCATGCCCCTTTATATCCCCCGTATCTTGGTGTTTCTCTCTCTAGGGTACCCCTGCGTCCCATTTTTACTGTCCTGGTTTCTGCAGTTACTCCAGGATTTGTACTCACATCTGAGAATGTGGAGCTAGGGACTGAGGATGAGAGAGAACATGCCTGCATATGCTGCTGGGCGAGGGAAAGTCAAGTTTTTTTTCCCTTTTAATTTCTCTCTCTCTCTCTCTGTCTCTCTCTCTCTCTCTCTCTCTCTCTCTCTCTCTCTGTGTGTGTGTGTGTGTGTGTGAGAGAGAGAGAGAGAGAGAGAGAGAGAGAGAGAGAGAGAGGACTGTATAGCCCAGACTGGCCATGAACTGGCTCACAGCATGGATTGTAGGCACACGCTTCCACAACCAGTACTAGTTTACCTTTAACAGTAAAGGTCCATGTACTCTATTGGCTGTGAGTACTAACAGGAAGTATAGGGACTAGAAAGCAAAGGCTCAGGTAAGAGTCAGAAAATTACAATCTTTCACACCTCTGTTTTGTACAGTGTCTGTCTCCCAAGACTTGATTTCGATCAAGTAGCTATTGCTTTTACTGTGGCAAACTTTAACTCACTAAAACTTAAAATTTCATTAGATTTTTATTTACTCATGTATGTGTATGCGTGTGCACATGTGTGGTACACATGTGAATGTCAGAGGGCACTCCAGGAGAGTGGATTCTCTGCCTGGGACTGAATTTGGGTAATAAGGTTTGGGGGAAGCATATTTACCTTCTGAAACATTTATTTATTTATTTATGACTTAATTAAAATCTTTGGACAAATTTCTCATGTCCAAACAATTTAAATGTGATCATTTTCATCCCACTTCCCCTTAATGCATCCCCAACACCATGTGTTCTTTCCTTTTAGAAATAACCCTCTATGTACAGTGAGGGTCTCAGGCAGTTCAACCTGGCCTTGCATTCACTATGCAGCTAGCTTTTCAAATTTATTTTTTGATGCTCCTGGTCACCTTACAAGCACTGGGCTGGCAGAAATGAGCCATCACATTCACCTCTCATTTATTTTCTTCTAGGAATTAATGCCCTTTTAAAAAAGAGGCACAACCTGTTTCTTACAGGACTTTTAAAAAGGGGACCTGTTGAAGTGGGGGTATTGAAGCTGCTCAGATGAAACATGGGGGCAAGAGGCCAGCCTAGCAGCAGGAGAGCATGTGCAGGAGAGCCTGAGGGTGCAGGCACTTTTGCTTTTAGGTCAGGGCAGTCTATGAGCTGGGGCGGTTGGCAGGCATCCAGCTGCCTAGGATAGGGTTCTTATTCTGGTTTTGAGAGGTTTAAATAGAGGGTCCCAAAAGAAAAAAGAAAAAAGAACCACAAAAAGATAGAGGATCTCCGAAGTGTGTAACTGCAGACACAGGAAGCTGGAGAGAGAGCTGAGGCCCCATGTGTGGGTGGGGAAAACTGGGCAGACTATAGGGCTGAGAAGTTGGCTTGCAGGCAGTGTGGCAAGAACACAAGTGAGAAATGTAAGAGCAGCAATAGTGTGTTTTGAGGTTTAGGGACTTTACAGGGTCTCACTCTTGCATTCAATGTCTGCATTATCATCACCTTTTAATGCTTTTGTTAGCATATAGAAGCATACATACATAATAATAGGTTTTGGTATGTCACTGTCTTATGTGTATATTTACCCGCACTGCCACACCCTCTACTTCCACTGTTCTCTCTCTTCCCAACTAAAAATATCAGTAGTATTCCTGTACAAATGTTGTAGACGTTGAGGAAAAAAATCAGGGAACAAAATCCACTCATAATAGCTCTGAATCAAACAGACTATACACACGTGCACGGACACATACCCATATGCACACACATATACATAAATATACACACATGAACACACATACATATATATGCACACAGACACATAGACATATGTGTACACATATGCACATACATACATGCATACAGAGACACACAAAACAGAGGGACATACACAAACACATGCAGGCAAACATAGGCACACAAGCACATATACAGGCAGGCAGGTAGACAGACAGACAGACACTCATGCAAAACTGCCCCACCTGGGGATAAACCTAACCAACAAGGGAACAGTCTACTCTGACAGTTATAAAACACCGAAGGAGGGCTGGGTAGTGGTGGCACATACCTTCAATCCCAGCACTCAGATGGCCAGCTTGGTCTACAAGAGCAGTTCCAAGATAGCTAGGGCTACACAGAGAAACCCTGTTTTGAAAACAAACCTATAAACTGATAATGGTTTCTTCTATTATGGTATCTCTTTATAGGTTTGAAGATAAAACTGAGTCTAGATAAATGTTCAGAGACCTACAAGGATGACCCCCAACTAACAATCTGAGCAACAGTGGAGAAGCTACCTTAAATGCCCTTCCGTGATAATGAGATTGATAACTAACTTATATGTCATCATAGAGCCCTCATCTAGTAGCTAATAGAAACAAAAGCAGACACCCACAGCTAAACACTGAGTTGAACTCCTAGAATCCAGTTGCAGAGAGGGAGGAGTGATAAGAAAAGGGGTCAAGACCAGGCTACAGAAACCCACAGAGACAGCTGACCTGAATAAGGGGGAGCTCATGAATCCCCAGACTGATAGCTGGGAAACCAGCATTGGACAGACTCAGACCTCCCTGAACATTGGTCTCTGGTAGAAGGCCTGGGCAGTCTAAGGGACCTCTGACAGTGGAACCAGGAGGTATCCCTGGTGCATGAAAGGACTTTGGGAGCACATTCCCCATGGAGAGATACTCCCTTAACCTAGAGGCAGGAGGGAGGGCCTAGACCCTATTCCAAATGACTTGACACATTTTGATTATCCCTCCTGGAAGGCCTCACCCTTCCTATGGAGTGGGTGGGGAATGGGATGGGAGGGGGGGTCAGGGGGTAGGAGAGGAAGGGAGAGAGAAGGAACTGGGATCAATATGTAAAATAAGAAGAAATAATAAATACAAAAAAGAAAACAACCAACCAACCAACCAACCAGTCAACCAACCAACAAACAAACAAAAAACACCAAAGGAGGAAACAGGCTGTTGCTGTGGAAGTGATCTCAGAGTGGCCATCCTCCTGAGTGCAATCCACATAGTCAATGCAATCCCCATTGAAACACCAACACTGTTCTTCACAGAAATAGGAGGGAAATCCTAAAATTCATGCAGAAGCAGGACAGGCCCCAGAGAGTCAAAGGCAATCCTGACTGGAGGACAGCGCTGGCACTGCCCCTTCCCTGATGCTGCATTGTCCCACAGAGCTGTAGTTAGACAAACTGCGCTGTGCTGCACAAGAGCTGGTTCACACCTATATTTGTACCCACCACTCATGTCAGCATTGAGCATTGCTTTCAGAGCCTACCCAGAATTTCATGCCCTTCTTGTTCCTGCCTGGATTTTACTGAACACACCATTCACAGGCACAGGGTAATCACTCCACCCTTGGTCATCTTGCTTCTGAATCTCTGAAGCTCATGGCTCTAGCAGTTGCTGGAAGCGTTGTTAAAATTGTCATCATGCTTGTTCTATCTAAACCTCTGCCATGGCTCCCATCACTCAACTGATTAACATCTTCTCCCGTTGCTGTGACCTCATACCCAGTAAGAAGCAACCTGAGGGAGGGAGAATTGATTTTGGCTCCCAGCTTGAAGAGGTATAGTCTGTTAATGCAGGGAAAGGTGTGGTGGCAGCTGATCACATCTCATCTGTCCTAAGGAAGCTGGATGAGATGGGTGATGGCACTCATCACACTGTACCTTTGCTCTGTTAGGTCCCAGCTGATGGGGTGCTGGCATGCTTCAGGAGTATATCACAGACTCATGCACTGTGGTTTAAAAAATCTGAATCATGGCTTTCAGTCCATTTTTTTTTCTTACAACCTCAATCAGGGTGCATTTCCTCATCTTATTCCTCTGCTTGCTGGCACAACCCTTGAGGTCACAGATCATTTTGTTAGTGAAGTCTCAAGATCTTCACTCAGCCTTTTACTAATGTCAGTACTGATGGACTGAGCAGTCCAGCAGTCATAGTCTGGAGGAATCATGTCATCTGGCTTTTTTCTATTCCTGGGTTTCTCTTGTCATTTATTCTTGTGCTTGTTTGGATGTCTCTTCTGATTTCATTTGACAAAGCTAGTCTTGAGGACTCAATCCAGGGACACATGTTCTTGTCTCTAGTCTGTTCTTATAAAGATCATTTATTCCATCCATTTACCTTCATCACTTACATCTACAAGACCACTTTCTGGAGAAGATCACCCTGACAGGCAGTAGACTCTAGGGCGTACATAGCTCCTCCATTCCTTTACACAACTCTTTGGAAGTCCCACTCCAGTGCTTTAAACACATCCATACTCTTCTTTCCATGCTACCCAGGTGTAAATGAGTGTGAAGACACTACCACGTGCCCTGCTTATGCCACCTGCACTGACACTATGTACAGTTATTACTGTACCTGTAAACGAGGCTTCTGGCCTAGCAATGGACAGATCCACTTTAAGGGCCCAGGAGTGGTGTGTGAAGGTGAGTTTATGTTGTGTGACTTTCTGGGGAGGCATGAATGAATGTCCACTCTCACCCCATGTAGAACACTGGCCATAGGCCAAAGAAGTGATTTCCACACCTTGCTCAGGCAGCTCAATTGTTTATTGCTTATATTACCATGGGTAGGGCCTTGTGAGTCTGTTATGGAAAGTATCTTGACTTTCTGGGTCTTGGGAGCTCCTCCACCCTAGGTTAAGAAGAAATCACTACACAAGCATTCACATTCTGTTAAAGCCTTCCAGTGTTTGGTAGGTCAGGCTCATGCTGGCTGGGCATTGGGTAAGGTTACTCCCTGCCATTCTTACCACATGCCCCAAATTCCTCTTTTCCCAGGGTACCCTTCCTGTGTATCTATACATTAGTAATAATACATATCTAAATATGCACAAAACTTTCCCTTTCCCTCCCTCCCTTCCTCCCCTTTTCCCCTTTTATCTATACTCTTACCCATGCATTTGCCCATCCATCCATCCATCCATCCATCCATCTGTATGTCCATCCATTATGCCCATCAGTTCATATATCTGTCCACACATAGTAAAGCCATCAACACTCCCCTCCCTCCTTGTCTGCTTTCTCCCTTTCTTCTTCTTTCTCTTTCTACTCACCTGTCCACCCATCTGTCCACACACAGGGATATCTGTCTCCACACACCCCTCTCTCCTTCCCTCCATCCAGTTATTTTCCTGATTCCCATTCCATGCAAAAGTTCAGAGACGGTTGTGCTGCAAGACTGAGTATCTCAAGGGGACAAGGTGTGGTGTTTGACTTAGCAACCAATTTTTAAGAACTGGGAACCCAAGTTTAAGACTGCTTAGATCTAAATAGAGAGACCCCCCCAGACCACACCCAAGTCACTAAATGATGAGCAAATAGAAGGAGGTTAACCATTATTTGTAGGGCAAGAGCAGTTTGTTACACCAACCCTTTTTTTTTTTTTTTTTTTTTTTTTTGGCTCAGATGTAAATGAATGTCTTCAAAGCGACTCACCCTGTGGTCCTAATTCAGTCTGCAAGAATCTCCCGGGGCGAACATTGTGCAGCTGTCTTAGTGGCTTCTCTCCTTCCACTGGGCAGAACTGGATCCTGGGAAGTCCAGGTCATTTTTTCTGCACAGGTAATGTTTTCAGGCTCTCTGTTGTGGGTTTTCAGTAGTTGGCACATGATTCTCTTCACTCACTCTTTTCCTTTGCCCTACAGACATTGATGAGTGTCTGACAATTGGGATCTGCCCTAATTATTCCAACTGTACTAACACAATAGGAAGCCACAACTGCACCTGCCAATCCGGCTTCATCTGGAATGACCTCGCTTGTGAAGGTTTGTGGCACCTGGTCCTTGTCACTTCTTATATGGTTTTGTCTATGCTTTGCACCTGCTAGGCTGGGTCACTCAGCTATACCCTGATTTTTAAAAATTTAACCATTCCAGAATCCTTCTGCCAAGTCCTTTTTTTCCCTCTCCAACAATTTCTCTCCTTCTTTCATGTCTTTGTTGTTGCCCTATTGTGCTTGGTTGTGTTTGATATAACCGAGGAAAACTTAACAGTGTCCGCACCACTGAAGGAAATCTCCCTTCCTACCACCTCCAGTAACCAGAGCTGCTCAGGGAGGGGTGGGGCCTCAGGAGTAGCCACAACGGTTGTGAGTTAATGTGCACAGCAGCTTTCTCCTGTCCAGAAGATAAAGTATTTCACAAAACTCCTTCCCATCTTCTGGCTCTTACACTCGTTCTGCCCATTTTCCACCCATACCCTTATTCTTTACACTAGCCTGGGCCTCATACACGCGCAAGTGCCAGTCAGTCCCAGAGAAAGAACATAGTCAATCAAGTTTGGGACTGACACCCATCACTTGTGCATTCTATTGACCAACACAAGTAATAAGACAAGATGGATTCAAGAAGGTAGAGAATCAAATGTCAGTTCCTCATGGGAGTAGTGGAGAAACCACAAGGCATATAATCCACACACAAAGTCTTATTACAGGAGGCATGGAGGAAAATGTTATTTTTGTGAATGTTGATAATTATTATTATTTTTTGTATTGCTTTGGAGCCTGTCCTGGAACTAGCTCTGTAGACCAGGCTGGCCTTGAACTCACAGAGATCTGCTTGCCTCTGCCTCCTGAGTGCTGGGATTAAAGGTGTGTGCCACCAATGCCCAGCTGGTGATTATGCTTTAAAACTTTTTATAACATTTCTAATTACATTGTATTGACCAGGATTTATTCTTACGGTTAAATATAGCTACAAGGGATGCTGGAAAGCATGCCTCTGAGTGACCAGGAAGAAAGAGAGCACATGTATGTTGGAGAGTCTGCATCTTGTCTGCTACCAGTTGGCCCACAGAGTGCATCTGTAGTGTGGTCTTCACTTCTCAACCTCCCACTTAAATTCTCCTGCATTTTATTCCCAACTCATCAGATGATGATGAATGTGCGAAAGACAACACTTGCCCAGAGCATGCAACCTGCCACAACACTCTTGGAAGTTATCACTGTACATGTGACTCAGGATTTGAATTTAGTGGTAGAGGGTCAACATTCCAGGGCCTGGAAGAATCCTGTGAAGGTAAGTGGAGGTGTTGACCAGGAACTCAAATAAAACCTACTTGAAAAGACTGTGATACAAAGCTTGAGCTTAGGATGAATTCAAGACTTTCAGCTTCTCCCTCCCTCCCTCTCTCCTTCCCTCCCTCCCTCCCTCCCTCCTTCATTTCCTCCCTCCCTCCTCCCCTCTCTCCCTGCCTCCTTCCCTCTCTCCCTCTCTCCCTCCATTTCTTTCTCCCTTACATGAGTATGGGCATGTGTACATCATGGTACATGTGTGGAGGTCAGAGAAAAAGTTTTGTGAGTCAGTGAAGGTATAACAAGGGATGGGAAGCATATCCAGGAATAGAGGGTATGGCAGCAGAAGCAGGAACCTGAGAGATCACAGCTCACCCACAAACTTCAAGCAGAGAGAGTGAATTGGAAATAGGGTGAAGCTAAGTCCTCTCAAAGTCCCCCTCCCCTGGCAGTGACATACTTCCTCCAGCAAGACTTCAGCTCCTGAACCTCTCCAAATAACACTATCAACTGGATAGTGTCCAGATGCCTGAGCCTATGGGGACCATTCATATCCAAACTACCACATTCCACCCCCTGGCCCCCACAGGCTTATGGCCATATCACAATGCAAAATGCATTTATCTCCAGCCAGAGTTTTATATATTAACAATTTCCTGGTCTAAATGTCATCATTTCTTATAACCATGACTTTCTGTTTAGATGTGGATGAGTGTTCCAGTAACTCAACTCTTTGTGGTCCTACCTTGATTTGCATCAACACCCTGGGGTCCTACAACTGCTCCTGCCCATCTGGATTCTCTTTGTCAATTTCCCAGGTCCCTGGTCATCCAGCAGATAGGAAGTGTACAGGTAATCTCCTCAGCTATGTGGAGGACTTGTCAATGGGTGTCAAACAAATCCCAAACATAGTGGCATAATTATAGCAATGGATATTTGTTCTTGCTAACAATGGGCTAGTTTTTCTGTTTACTTAGTGTCCTGAGAGCATATGCCTACAGTGGCTGATAGATCTCAATAGTTAGTCTCTGGATAGGCACTCTACTGAGACACCAATTTCTACAGTGATACTTGGGCTTCCTTGTAGCACGACTTCTGTTTTCAAAATAAGGTGTGATTCCAAGAGGAAGAATGCATAATAAGCCAGGTGTTTGAGAGTCTGGGCTTGTGGATCTCAGAAAACCAGTAACACTTTATCCTGTTGGTTACAGTCAAGAACCAAACTAGAATCAAAAGGGTAAAAACTCTGTGTGTCATTTGGTTAGTTTTGGTTGTCAACTGAACACAATCTAGAATTGTCTTGGAAGAGTCTCAGTGAGGAGTCATAGGTTCTAGTTTCATTCTATTGCTGTGACAAACATCAGGACCAAAAGCAACTCAGGGAGGGAAGGATTTATTTGGCTTATACTTCCAGGAAATTTATCACCCAGGAAAGTCAGGGCAGGAACTTATATCAGCAACCTGGAGGCAAGAACCATGGAAGAATGCTACTTGCTAGGTCACTTTCATGTTTTTCCACAGGTTCATGCTTAGACAGCCTTTTTTTTACATAACTGAGAACTGTTGTAATTTAAGAAAAGCAGCTCTCCAGAGAAAAATGCCCTGCAACATGGTAACAGGGTTCAAGCAGAGGTTTTTTTTTTTTTTTTTTTTTTTTTTTTTTTTTTTAAATTATGGAAGGGTATCATACAAAGGGGAAAGAGGAGGGGGAGACCATCCTCTGGAGACAGGAGTGGCAGGAGAGAGGAGAGAGGGAAGAAGGGGAAAGGAAAGAGGGGAAGAAAGAGAAAGGAAGAGAGAGAGGAACAGAAAGAGGGAGAAAAAGAGAGAGGGGAATGGGAGGTGAGCAGGGAACATAGTGAATGTGCACAGGTGGTGCTCTTAGTGGCTGCAGCTGAGGGCATATCCTGTCAGAACCTCAAGGACAAGCCAGTACAGATGCCTGAATACTAACACCTGCCCAGAGAAAAGTGCCACTCATAGTGGACTTGGTTCTATCAATTAAGACGATGAGGGCAAGTCCGCACAGACATGTCTACAGAACAATCGAATGAAGACAATTAAGTAAAGATTTCCTTTTAGGTGTTTCTAAGCTGTGTGGAGTTGGGATAATGCTAACTACAACAGCATGTCTGTGGAGGGCTGCCATGACTATGCTAATTGATGTGAGGTGATCCTCCTGCCATGGGTGGTATCATTCCCCAGGCTAAGTCCTGGTCTACACCAGAGTGGAGAAGTGAACATTTATGCTTTCAGCTCTTTTTGTTCTTGATGGTGGATGTGACTGCCTTGATTTTTTTCTGCAATGATGAAATGATAAACCTAACAATGCACTTTCTCCCATAAATTTCTTAATTTCTTTTCTTTTTTCAGGGTACTTTATTACAGTAATTGGTGAAAATGCAAGGACAGGGAGCCGTGTGTGTGTGTGTGTGTGTGTGTGTGTGTGTGTGTGTGTGTGTGTGTGTGTGTGTGTATGTGTTCAGGAAATAGAGGGGCACAGTGTGGTGTATCCACCATACAATGGAGCCCAGTGTACATTTTTAGTCTTCATGAGGGAAATGCTTATTTTTATTGACTTAAAAACATTCTATTTCTCATGACTTGATGATATTGTTATAAGAAACACAACAGAAGTGAGAAAAGTTAAAGAGAGCTTAGAGTTAAATTAATTTGGCCTTAATGGTTCCCATGAAGCCATTCAGAATCTCTATTAAGACCAAAGGAAGATGTGAGCAGATAAGACCATTTCTGTCAGTGTGAAAAATGTCTGAGAAAAGCAGCTTTGGGAAGAAGGATTTACTTTAATTAATGCTAAATAGCTAGGTCATTGGCCAACAGTTTTATTTTCTTTTTATCTTTCTTGTTTCTTTTTCTTTTCTTTTTTGCTGTTTGTGTCTCTATGTGTATGTTCATGTGTCTGTTTGAGCACATGTGTCCATGCAGCACATGCATTTATATATAAGTAGGTGTCATTCTCTAGGGTCATCCACCTTGTTTGTTTGAAGTCTCCCACTGAGCCTGGAGCTCTATACTATGATGTGTGAGATGATCAGCTTTAATTGTCAACTTGAACAAGCTAGGAGAAAAGCCCCAATGAAGGATTGTCTATATTACATTGGCCCATGGGCATGTCTATGGGAGATGGTCTTGTTTACATAGGAATTGATATGGAAAGACTCGGCCCACTGTGGGTGGCACCATTCCTTAGGCTGAGGGTTCTGAATTGTATGTAGTAAAAGTCAGCAACATACATTCACTCTCTGCTTTTGACTGTGGATAGGACCATCTGCTTCAAGTTCCTTCCTTGACTTCTCCACAATGATGGCTGCAAGCTGGAGTTGTGAGCTAAAGTTAAACCCTTTCTTCCCTAAACTGCTTTTTGCCAGGGTATTTTATCACAGCAATAGAAGTGGAACCAGGGGAACTGGCTGTTGGGGTCAAACTGAGGTCCTTATATTTGTACTGCAAGCTCTTTACCCACTGAGCCATTGCTCCCTCATACTCATTCTCCACTGTGCAGATATTGATGAGTGTGATACCACATGTCCTTCCAACTCATCATGTACTAACACTCCTGGGAGCTACTTCTGCACTTGCCACCCTGGCTTTGCATCGAGCAATGGACATGTGAATTTCACAGACCCGGAAGTGTCATGTGAAGGTGAGGAGAGGGTTTCCCAGATGGCCCGGGATATGGACTTCTCCTGTTCTCTGAATTTCTTTATATGTTTTATTTTTATTGCAGATATTGATGAATGCATCCAAGATCCATTACCTTGTGGACAAAATTCTGTCTGCAGCAATGTCCCAGGTTCCTACATCTGCAGCTGCCTTCCCAGCTTCCAACCAGAATCAGAAGGCTCCCAGGCACACGGCAACTTCAGCTGCAAAAGTAATGTTTTGGTGCTTTGGCATAGGGAAATGAGCCTTGGTTTGCTCATAAAACCTTTTTTTTTTCTTTTCCAATAACTGGGTTCATTGCTTATTTTCATTTCACCCATGCAGTATTTTCCTACCTATTCACTCCTTTATGGATTCATTGGTACACTCAATAGTAAGTTACTGAGTGGATTTTGGATCAACTACATTTTTTTGAGACAGTTTTTTGTAGTTCAGGTTAGCCTTAAACTCACTGGTGACCTAGAACTCCATTCTTCATTCCTCTATCTACCAAGTTCTGGCATCATAGGTATGCAGGACCACATGCAGTTTGAAATATAAACTTGAAAGGGTGGAGATCACATTGGCCCTGGTTATAGCATGTGCAAAGGCCCTTGGGTTCATACAGAGTGGATAGCTTTAGATGGAAACTGAAACCATGAGCAGAGTGCAGGCTCTCTGGTGCTTCAGTGTCTTGTGAAAGCATTTAGTTTTTTCTCTCAGGAACAACAAAAGGTTAAAAAATTTTAAGGAATAGATATTAAAAGGTCTCTGGCCAGGTTACAGCACTGAGCATGCACATGGATCAGTGGGGGAGCTCATGAGCCCTGAGAGGCAGTTGTTAGATGCCCAGGACCAGTTTTCTTTAAGGATGTGTCCCAGTGTTACTTTTCTGGTGCCTTGATGAAATACCATGACCAAGGCTATTTTTAGAAGAAAGAGTTTATTTGGGCTTATGGATCCAGAGTGTTAGAGTCCACAATGGTGGAGAATGACTGAGGAAGACATGTTACCTTCTAACTTCCACATGCATGGGCATACATGATATACATGCATGAAAATGTTCACACACTGGTACGCCACCACCACACAAACTAATATTCAGAACACAATGTGTGTAGCCTGAATGGTTACAACAAAGCACAGGGGTGAGGATGTCATCAATGCCATTCTGTCCCCACATGCTCCTTCCCTATTTCATTTTTTCTGTTTCCTACTCACAAAGAACCATCTAGAAATAAGTAATCACTATAACCTCTTCATTCCCACTATTCATTATGGTCTTAGTTCAAGGTGTAATTCATTATGGTGGGGAAGTCGAGACAGCAGGTCACGTCACATCCTCAGTTAGAAACAGAGTTATGCATGCTGCTGATGTTGATTTTCTGTGCCATTCAGCTCTACTGTATAAGGAATGGTCCCACCCACAATTAAGATGTGTCTTCCCTCACCAATTAACCTAGTGAAGATGGTCTGCCACAGGCTTGCTCAGAGGCCAACCTCCTAGGTGATGCTAGGTTCAACGGAAATGATAATTGACACAGAATGGTTACTGTGGCATTGGGTATCAAACTCTCATCATGTCCTGACTTGTTCCCTTTAAACCTGTGCCACACTCTTGGAGCTTCTTAACCTGCAGTGTAGCTGCAGTTTGGTTCTAGTCACTGCTATGTGCTACGGCTGAGGTTGGATGTTAGGCACAGAGGTTACAGCATCAGCTTTGCCTTGAAGTCACACCTTACTGTTTTCTGTGATTTTTCTTCTTCCCAGAAATCCCATTCAAGTGTAAGGAAGACTTGATATCCAACAGCAAGCAGATACAACAATGCCAAGCAGGGAAAGCCAGGGATATTGACTATGTAAGTTTTATAATATCAATTTTCTTTATTCTTGAGAATTTATGCATGTATGCCATAAAATATGATGATAATCACCCTGACCTTTTCTTTTTTTATTTTTTATTTTTTTATATATAATTTTTTATTTAATTTTATATAACAAAGTCCAATTAAATGAAAACAAAGATTTATACACAATATTTGGGAATTTGGGCGTCATTCTTTCCAAACTACTTCCTGCTGGTAAGGGGCGCTGTCTTGGGGGATTTGAAGAAGATTCAGATATCCTAGCCGTAGTCTGTAGGGCTGTTTTGTCCAGCTGTTTGGAATGTAGGATCAGCTTGTACTCTGTTTCAGGCAGTCTGGTGTGATCAAACCACATTAGTCTGGAAGGAATCCACATCTTTTCATTTTCTGTGGAAACAAAAATAGAAATACTTTTCCCCAGTAACTTGTTCTTCAACTTAAATTTTGGAGTCAAAGCGTTTTTTTTTTTTTTTTTTTTTTTTTTAAATTTATTATTTTACATGTTGATCCCAGTTCCCTCTCCCTCCCTCCCTCCCCTCCAGTCTTTCCTCCCTCCTTCCCTCCCTTTTACCCTCTCTGCCCTCTCACATGCACTCTAAACACCCTCCCCTCCCCAACAATACCATATGTAGGGGAATGCCATCCAGTTGGGGTCATGTAGATCTGACAGGTCCTGTGAAGTAGGGACTAGGGCTTCTCTCCTATCTCTAGAATGAGGCAGTTATCCCTCCATGGAGGATATGTTTGCAAAGTCCTTCTGTGCACCAGGGATACATCCTGGCTCCACTGTCTGAGGTCTCTTAGACTGCTCAGACCTTCTGGCTGAGACCCATATTCAGGGGGGTCCGAGTCAGTCCCCTGCTGGCTTCCCAGCTATCAGTCTAGTGGCCCTTAGCTCCTCCTTGTTCAGGTAAGCTGTCTCTATGTACTTCTACCGCATGGTCTTGTCCTCTCCATCTGCTTCTGGGTTCTAGTTCGACTCAGTGTTTATGTATGGGTGTTTGCTCCTATTTTCAACAGGCATTAGTTGAGGGCTCCATGGAGAAGTTAGTTGTTGATCTCACTCTCCGGGAAGGGCATTTATGATAGCCTTTCCACGGAAGCTGAGATTGTTAGTTGGGAGCAGTCTTGTAGTTCCCTCGACCTTTCTTTGTGTTCAACTTTATCTTCAAACCAATATTGGCTCCCTCTTTTATGTTCTCTCTCTCTGTCTCCCTCTCTCTCTCTCTCTCTCTCTCTCTCTCTTTCCTATTTTCCATTCCTAACCAGGCTCAATCCTCCTGGTCGCACATGCCTTCCTCTCCTCCCCCTCATTTTCTCCTACTTCTCTCTCCATTCGCTGTCCTCCCCCACTTTACCTGAGCTCTGGGGGACTTGTCCCTTCCCAGTTCTGTGAGGGACTTTATATGAATCTCTTAGAATACACCTTGTATCCTATTTCCTCTGGTGATGTGAATTATAGGCTGGTGATCATTTGATCTAGTTCTAAAATCCATATATGAGTGAGTACATACTGTGTTTCTCTTTTTGTGACTGGGTTACCTCATTCAGGATGGTTTCTTCAAGTGCCATCCACTTGCCTGAGAATTTCAAGATACCATTATTTTTTTCTGCAGAGTAGTATTCCATTGTGTAGATGTGCCACATCTTCATTAACCATTCTTTAATTGAGGGGCATCTAGGTTGCTTCCAGGTTCTTGCTATTACAAATAGTGCTGCTATGAACATAGTTGAACAGATGTCTTTGTTGCATTGATGTGAATCCTTTGGGTATATGCCTAAGAGGGGGATTGCCGGGTCCTGTGGTAAACTAATTCCCATTTTCCTGAGGAACTGCCATACTGATCTCCAAAATGGCTGTATGAGTTTGCACTCCCACCAGCAGTGGAGGAGTGTTCCACTTTCTCCATATCCTCTCCAACATAAGTCATCACCCTAATTTTAGCCATTCTGGCAGGGGTAAGATGGTATCTCAAAGTTGTTTTGATTTGCATTTCCCTGATAGCTAAGGATGTGGAGCATTTTCTTAAGTGTCTTTCATCCTTTTTGATTTCCTCCATTGAGAATTCTTTCTTCAGTTCTGTACCCCATTTTTTAATAGGGTTATTTGGTGTTTTGTTGACTAGTTTCTTGAGTTCTTTGTATATTTTGGAGATCAGCCCTTCGTCGGATATAGGATTAGTGAAAATCTTTTCCCAGTCAGTGGGCTGCCGTTTGGTCTTGTCAACTGTGTCCTTTGCCTTACAGAAGCTTCTAAGTTTGAAGAAGTCTCATTTATTAATTGTGACCTTTTCTTTTTTATATAATTTTTTTATTTAAGTTTGAAACAAGATTGTTTTACATGTAAAACCCAGTTCCCTCACCCTCCCATTCTCCCCTGTCCCTCCCACCACCCCCATCCCATCCCCTTTCTGCTTCCCAAGGAGGGTGAGGCCTTCCATGCGGTGTCTTCAAAGTCTGTCATATCATTTGGAGCAGGGTCCAGGCCATCCACCGTGTGTCTAGGCTGAGGGAGTGTCTATGTGGAATGGGCTCCCAAAGGACATTCATATACTGGAGATAATAAATACTGATCCACAGGTAATCTGGGTTGGTCCTATGCTGGTTTTCCAGCTATCAGACTAGAGTCCATGAACTCCCCCTTGTTCAGGCCAGCAGTTTCTGTGGGTTTCTCCAGCCTGGTCTTGACCCCTTTGCTCATCTCTTCTCCCTGTCTACAACTGGATTCCAGGAGTTTGGCTCAGTGTTGAGCTGTGAGTGTGTCTGCTTCTGTTTCCATCAGCTACTGGATGAAGGCTCTAGGATGGCATATGAGGTAGTCATCAAATTTCATTATCTGGGAAGGGCATTTAAGGTAGCCTCTCCACTGTTGCTTAGATTATTAGTTGGTGTCATCCTTGTACATCTCTGAACATTTTCCTAGTGCCAGATTTCTCTTAAAACCTATAATGTCTCCCTCTATTATGGTATCTCTTTTCTTGCTTTCTTCTATTCTTTCTCTGACTCAATCTTCCTGCTCCCTCATGCCCACCTCTCCCCTCCTCTTCTTCCTAACTCCCTCTCCCCTAGCCCCATGCTCCCAATTTGCTCAGGAGATCTTGTTCCTTTCCCCTTCTCCAGGGGGCCATGTATGTCTCTCTTTTGGTCCTCTTTGTTTCCTAGCTTTTCTGGTGGTGTGGATTGTAGGCTGCTAACCCTTTGCTCTATGTCTAAAAGCCATATATGAGTGAATACATACTGTGTTTGTATTTTTGTGATTGGGTTACCTCACTCAGGATGGTTTCTTCTAGTTCCATGCCATTTGCCTGCAAATTTCAAGATTCCATTGTTTTTTTTTCCACTGCTTGTATTCCATTGTGTAAATGTACCACATTTTCTCCATTCATTCTTCAGTTGAGGGGCATTTAGGTTGCTTCCAGGTTCTAGCTATTACAAATAATGCTGCTTTAAACATAGTTTAACAGATGTCCTTGTTGTATGTATGTGCATCTTTTGGGTATATGCCTAAGAGTGGAATTATTGAATCTTGAGGTAGACTGATTCCCATTTTCTTGAGGAACCCATACTGATTTCCAAAGTGGCTGTATGAGTTTGCACTCCCACTGGCAGTGGAGGAGTGCACCCCTTTCTCCACATCCTCTCTAGCATAAACTGTCTTTGGTGTTTTTGATTTTAGCCATTCTGACAGGAGTAAGATGGTATCTCAGAGTTGTTTTGATTCACATTTCCCTGATGGCTAAGAATGTTGAGCACTTTCTTAAGTGTCTTTTGGCCATTTTAGAGTCTTTCATTGAGAATTCTCTATTTAGTTCTATACCCCACTTTTTCATAGGGTTATTTGGTGTTTTGTGACTAGCTTCTTGAGTTCTTTGTATATCTTGGAGATCAGCCCTCTGTCAAAAGTGGGGTTGGTGAAGATATTTTCCCATTCTGTGGGCTGCCGTTTTGTCTTGTCATCTGTGTCCTTTGCCTTACAGAAGGTCCTCAGCTTCAGGAGGTCCCATTTATTAATTGTCAATCTCACTGTCTGTGCTACTGGTGTTATGTTCAAGAAGCCGTCTCCTATACCAATTTGTTCAAGGGTACCTCCAACTTTCTTTTCTAAGATGTTCAGTGTACCTGAATTTATGTTGAGGTCTTTAATCCATTGGACTCAAGTTTTGTGCATGGCGATAGATATGGGTCTATCTGCAGTCTTCTACAAGTTAGCATCCAATTATACCTGCACCATTTGTTGAAGATGCTTTCTTTTTTCCATTGTATAATTTTAGCTTCTTTGACAAAAATCAGATGTTTACAGGTGTGTGGGTTAATATCAGGGTTTTCAATTTGATTCCATTGTTTTTCCTGTCTATTTTTGTGCCAATACCAAGATGTTTTCAGCTCTATAATAGATCTTCAAGTCAGGGATGGTGATGCCTCTGGAAGTTCCTTTATTTTACAGGGTTGTTTTGGCTATCCTGGGTCTTTTGTTTTTCCATATAAAGTTGAGTATTGTTCTTTGATGGTCTGTGAAGAATTGTGCTGTCACCCCCAACTTTTCCATGATGGCCAACCTCTCAACCTAGCTCTCTTCCAATTTCATGTCCTGCTTTTCTCTGATGACCCACTATATTCATTCACTGGTGCCCATACATGCATGTGTGTGGGGCATCTGCTGGAGCATGGAACACCACCAAATGCCACACCCCTAAGAAAGAATGATCTTTCTTCTCCCAAAAGCTCTCACTGCCAAGAGCTCTTCATTCTATGCCTAGAATTTTGGCTGGCTTGGTCTGTTGCAGATGCCCACAGCTGCTATGTGCTCCTGTGTCTTTGTCTTGTCATGCCTAGAAGACAGCATATCATTGCTTTCCCCCCCCATCCTTCTTCTGTAATTCTTTTTCCACTTCTTGGTGCACTATGTTCCCCGAGCCTTGGGGTGTGTGTGTGTGTGTGTGTGTGTGTGTGTGTGTGTGTGTGTGTGTGTGTGCACCAGGCATTGATACAGATGTCCTGTTTGGGGCTGGGTACATATTCTTATTGAATATGTAAGCATTGTTGAGTATCCTTCATTCTTGATATTTTCCAAGAAGCCACTTAGGTTAGATATTGCTTCATCAATCTTAACAAAATAAATGCAATAGTGAAATAACAAAACCCGTAGTGGATGTATTGTTTTTAAAAGTAGAAACTACTTCTTTCTTCATACAAGTCTCCTTTTCTGTGGCCCAAAATAGCTGCTCCAGCTCCTGCCATCAGATCTGTATTTTAGGTAGTGGAGAGAGCACAAGAAAAAGTTAAAGTTACCTTCCTCTTTAAGAATATTGCTTAGACATTCAATGGCATGGATGAGATAAAGATGCCCTTTCCCTCCATCCTTTGTCACTTGTGGCAAGTGAGAAAGATGGTCCCAGGGTTATGAGAGTGGGAGAACTAGCCCTGGCCCACTCCAGCTTCAACATACAGGAGAGCGGGTCTTGTATCCCACCTGGGCAGCACACTAGAGTTGTTGTTGGGGGCTAAAGTGAACTAGCCCTGAGGGCATGGGTGGGGAGAGCAGACCCTGCGCCCTACTCATCTTATTTCCTACAGCAATAAGCTGAATTTTTCCTGGACAAAGAAGTAGAGCTGGCCCTGGATGAGAGTGTGAGGGACCCAGATATGAGGACCCAAGAGCAGGATAACTGGCTCCACTCCTTGCTGAAGGCTGCACTGGGCAAGCTAGCCTTAGTAGGAGAGCTCACCTGGGTAGTGATGGTGAGGGAAAGCTAGTAGGCTGACCAACCCAGCTACTACCCAGGATGAGAACCAGGGCTATGAGTTGGCTTATCCCAATATCCACTAATGCTATGAACTGTTGGATCATGTTAAGGGGATGAACTTATAAATCCAAAACTGCAGGATTCGGGTCCTGTCATGACACAAGACAGCAACAGGATATCCAAGAGGAGCCCTAGTGAGAGCTCCTTATTGGTGGTGTAGCAGAAGCCAGAGGTCTTGAGACAGACCAATGACTTAAGACAATGAACACTTGCAAGTAAAGATGAATGGACTAAAGGATAAATTGTGTGACTCAATGGGCCACACTACAGCTTTTACCACACATTCTTTTTGTTGTTGTTTTACTTTCTTTGGTTTTTGGTATTTGACTTTGATTTGGGGTGAAGCTTTAAGCACAGAGGCAGATGTGAGGAGATGGGGAGATAAGTAGGATCAGAATGTATGATGAGAAATTCACAAACAATCAATAGAAGTTAAAGAAAGAGTATAGCTTAGAAAAGAAGGTTGGGGCTGGAAGTTGTGCTGACTTGACTTGGGAGGTGGTGCTTTTGATGTGTCAATCTTCACTACTAAGGATGGAAATTTTGAAGTCAAATCAACAGCTGGAGACAACCACTTGGGTGGAAAGGAATCTGATAACTCAATAGTCAACCATTTTATTGCTGAGTTTAAGCAAAAATAGAAGAAGGACATCAGTGAGAACAAGAGAGTTATTGCCTGTGAACAGATTAAATGTCCCCTCTCCTCCAGGGCCCAGGCTGGTATTGAGACTGATTCTCTCTATGAGGGAATTAACTTCTATACTTCCATTACCTATTATCAATTTGAAGGATTAAGTGTTGTCCTATTCCATGGAAAACCCTTTCTTTTCCAAGTTGCTTTTTGTCAAAGTATTTTATCTGAGCAACAGAAGTGAAATAACTCTTCATACTGACAAGTATATTGGGGCTGTCTCAACATGGGTATACAGTGTGCTCTGATCAAATCAGCTCAGTTTAGAACTTCTTGCCCTTTGTTTGTAGCTGGAGTCTTCATCTCTTCTGGTTACTCATGAACTATATACCAGGCCATTGTGAACTGTGGTTTCTCTGCTGGACAAGGTGTGCCAAAACTCTCCTGAGTGAATGGGCCTGTTATTCACCAACCTTCTCAACATCCCTTAAATGAAAACTTGATGGGATGAGTGTTTCACTGAGGAATTTGAAGCACTCATATTTTGAGCTTTATTGATCAATTTGTAGACTTCTTAATTCAGAACAGACTGGCCAGTACTCATATATGCTTTTTCTCCTGTGACACAGGCCTCCTTCTGCACACTCGTGAACACCACCTTCAGCATCCTGGATAACACCTGTGGAAACAAGAGTGCCCCAGTGTCCCTGCAGGTAATGGCAGCACCTTCTTCATCTGTGTCTGTCTCTTCCCACCACTCTGAGCATGTGCATTCATGGCCGTGTGAATGTGTGTATGGGTACATGTGTATGTGGGTGCATGCATGACTGTGTGAATGTGTGTGGGTACATGTGCCTGCATACATGTGTGTCTGTGTGCAAGGATGATTGCATGCATCTGTATATGTGTGTGTGTGTGTGCATGTGCGTGTGCGTGTGCGTGTGTGTGTGTGTGTGTGTGTGTGTAGGCCAGGCATTAACCTCAGATATTGTCTTCAGCATCTTAGCATGTCTTCACCTTTTAGTTATTTTTGTTAGCATAAAATATGATGGGTTTTCTCCTGAAATTTTCTGGGATGTATGTTATTATTCTTTGTTTGTATTCCTGCTCCTTCCTGTCTTGTACCCATCTCCTCACCCCATTCAATTCCCTTTGGTTGATCTTCTGATTTAAAAAACTATCAAGTTCTTTATTTTGATATTATATTATTTGTTTCAAAATAGAGTATTTTATTTGTTCTTTGGCAATTTCATATTTATAAACCACGATTTCACACATGTAAACTGTTACACCTAGCCTGTTATACCCCATAAGGAAGGAGAGAGGCAATGCTTATGAGTTTCAAAGATTTTAATAATTCACTACATAGGTGGATTATTGATAGATCAGGGCTGCAGGACAAGGACTCAGGAGCCTTGTTTCTCCTGACAGCCCCAAATAGGGGCAGAAGTGGGGCTTATAAACATAAAATTGACATTTGTTTGCAAGTTTCTGTCACAATTTTCAGCATTTAGAGATTAGGGGCTTCCTTGAATGTTCCATCATTGTCAATGGATACAATGTAAATCTTTAAGTCCACCCAATTGGATTCATTTCTTTTTCCTGTTGCTGGGAACAGTCATAAAGTTTCTAAAGAGTTAATGATACATAACAACCACTTCTATAGTTTAGGGAGGAGATTGATCAGCCATTGGAAAGTTCTTAGCTCCCCTAGGACTTGGGGACCTGAACTTTATTTCACCCTGCAGGTAAAATGGAGTCTGAAGTCAAAATGACAGTACTTAGGCCAAGGTACTTATGCCCACTCCTTTCATAAAACATGATCATATTTCACCCATCTTGCCCTTCCCACTGCCATCTTTCCCTCCCCTCAGACACCATAAACATGTCCCCTTCATATATTATCCCTTTAAAAATAATTTACAGAGTTTAAATTAGTGCAGTCTACTGGAATATTAACTGATCATGGACGTGATCTGCATGCATGCACAGGCACTGTGAGCTGCAGGTGTCCACAGGTACTGTGAGCTGCAGGTGTACACAGGTACTGTGAGCTGCAGGTGTCTACAGGCACTGTGAACTGCAGATGAGCACAGGCACTGTGAGCTGCAGGTGTGCAAGGCACTGTGAGCTGCAGGTGTACACAGCCACTGTGAGCTCACGCATTAACAGCTGCCAGGGTCTGCAGGCACAGACAGCTGCTGTGAGCTCATGTGTTAACACTGGATTGTGTCTGAGGCAGCCTTTTACTGCACCTTCCCCACCTTCCATCTATACCTTCTTCCTGCCTCCTCTTCCATGATGCTCCCCGGGCTGGGGGAGGATGAGATTGATGCCATATTTAGGACTGAGCATATGGCAGTCACTTATTTTCAGCATTTTGACTGGTTAAAATGTACCATTTCTCATTATTGTATTCACTTAAGCTCTTTCATATTTAGTTTAGAGTAGCTACTCTGTTATTCAGATGGCCTTTCAGTGGGATATCTTATCATTTTCACCTAGATGGCTCAGTAACCCTTCCAGATCCACAGGGGTACACTGCTGCTTCCAAATTCTTTTGTTATTATTTCAGTTATTTCCTGAGATTATAATATGGTTTCCTCCTTCCCTCACCTCCACCCAAACCCTCACAATACTCCTCCTTGCTGTCTTTCCAAATTCATGGCCTCTATTTTCAGTATTGGTTGTTACAAGCTACATTAAATGTTACATTAACACTATATTAAATGTTGTTACATGTTACATATATATACATATATACATACATACACACACACACATATTCTAAAATACATAAGTATTTATGGCTGGGCTTAAACATTCCTAATGGGTCCCCTGAAGTCTAGAAACAGAACTGAGCAGATGCCACTTTTGGCTCTTTTTGTTTATGAGACAGGGTCTTGCTGTCGCCCAGGCTGGCCTCTAACTGGCTGTGTAGTCCAGGGCCCACTAGCTCCTGACTTCTGAGTCCTGTATTTTCAGAACTGTGTCACCATACTCAGAAGCTTCATTCTCCTTCTGCCTCATCTACAACTTCATCTCCCAGTGCTAGAGATGGCATAGGCTACTTTGTCAACTAGAGATGGGAGGGGGATGAGCAGGAGGAGGAGATGGAAGAGGAATGAGAGGAGGAACAGGAGAAGAAGGGGAGGAGGAAGAAGCAGGAGAAGGAGGGGAGGAGCAGAGGGATGAGCAGGAAGAGGAAGAAGGAGGAGGAGCATGACAGGGAGGAGCTGGGGGAGAAAAGGAGAAGGGGGAAGAGAAGGAGAAGAGGAGGAATAGAAGGAGCAACAAGAGGAGGAACCTGGGGAGGAGGAGACGTGGGGAGGGAAGCAGGAGAAGGAGAGGAAGGAGCTTGGGGAAGAGCAGAAGGAGAAAGGGGAGGAGGAGAGGGGGAGTGGGAGGGGTGAAAACATTAGGAAATGTTTTTTTTTCCCTTGCAGAATGCAGCTAGGAGCATTTCCCTGGTGCTGGAGCAAGCACCCCAGTGGGCTGAGTTCAGCAGAGAGGAGTCATCTGCCCTGGGCACCATCTTGCTGGAGACTGTGGAAAGCACCATGCTAGCTACCCTTCTGACACCCTCAGGGAACATCAGCCAGACCATTTCGACGGAGTACCTAGGTAATGCATATCCTTGAGGGCAAGGCTAATTTTTAGGGCTAACATAGTTGGATTTTCATGACTGTCAATGAACATTCAAAACCTCCAACTTACAGCCAAATAATATTAGTCACAGTCACAATTTCTCAATCACTTGGCCAAGATCAGACATGACACCAAGAGTGTGTCATTAATTAATTCATTAACCATTAGTGGGTTGTCTACTATATGATTATTATTTTCTTGTTTAGCTATTTCCAGTTTTCCCTTCCAAGATGATGGTTGGATTGTACTTCTTGGTGTGTCATTAGGAAGGGATTTGTGATAATGTCAGGTCATCATCATCCTAGAACATTCTTTCCCTTTCCCTTACTGACAGAGCATCTTTGCACCTCAGCTACTCCACCTGCTTGTGTCTTAGAGTTAAGACAATGAAGAACGGGGTGCAAATCCATTCATGAAGGGCACAAAACATTATTGAGAAACATGTGCTATTTTTAATCCTGGAAGACTTGGGGGATGTTTGTTGCTGCAGCATGGATCATCCTTCCCTCACTGATGCATGCTTGATTGCTGACCACTTGGGGATATTGAGTGCCACTGAATTTTGTATGCACTTCCCACTCCAGCTAGTAATTCTTGTATCAGTCAGTAACATGGATATTGGAGGTTTTCTCTTAATCACTGCTCTGACCCAGGCATAAGAATGTGGGTAGCATTTTATCAGCGTTAGGAATTTAGACATCTGAAATGTGATATAGACACAATGTTTTCAAGAAAAATCTCGCAGACTGAGGAAATTAAGGAGAACTAGGCTATTTTATGTAGTGCAGGCAGGAACTATACCAGGGCAGTGTGCTGATGAATTGTAATATACTGAGAGATGCCTGAGAGACTGGTAAAGCATGCTCCTTGGCATATCTGCCAGGGCATCCCTAGAGGTGCCTTGGTTTGTGGCATGGTGGTGGATGGGAAAGGCCCACTTTTGAGTGAGGGTGGGGCTGTAGAGCAGCCAACTTTGCCCACTGGGTCAAATAGAAGGAAGTGTCAGCTTGCAGGTACAGGCTTTCTTGATCTCTTCCTTTACTTCCTGGCTGTGACCCTTTGAAGCCAATGCCTCATGCTTTAAACTGGTTCTCTCAGAAATTTGTGGCATGACTAACACAGGATGGACCTCGGGGATGACAGCAATATATGTGTAGGAAATACAATTTATTCATCTCACTCTGTAGCCTTAGCTGGCCTCAAACTCATTGAGAGCTGTATGCTTCAGCCTCCTGCATACTGGGATTAAAGACACACACCACCACACCTTGCAAGAAGAACAATTTCCAAAGTAGCCGATGATTGAATGGAGCAGTGAAGATCCCAGTGTGACTGAAGTAGAGTGGACCATGGTGGTTCTGTGTGAGAGAGGCTCACAGAAAAAGAAGGGAGAAAGCACTGAAGGTTTTGTTGAAGTGAGATGTCTTGGCAGTACTGGATAATTTTGGGGGCAGGAATGGCATTTATTTCACTCTGGTGATGGTATTGACTTTTGACACTGTTTGTGTCAGTCAGCTTTCTGTTACTGCAACAAATTCTTGAGGCAAATCAACTTTTAAAATGGAAAGGTCTGATTATTGCAAGTATTTTCAGAGGTTTCAACCATGGTTGATTGGGCTCTATTGCTTTAGGTCTGTAGCACATTATGGCAGGAGTGTGGATTGAAGAGCATCTCACAGTGTGTGTGTGTGTGTGTGTGTGTGTGTGTGAGAGAGAGAGAGAGAGAGAGAGAGAGAGAGAGAGAGAGAGAGAGAGAGAGAGCAAGAACAGTAGTCTTTCAAATGAATGCCATCAATGACCTAACTTTGTCCCAGGCTCACAGCCTAAGCTTTCTACCACTTATCATTGGTGTCACACAGGGGGAGCCAAGCATTCAATATAAAAATTCTTAGTGGGAAATTCTACATTCAAACTAGTGATAGATTTTAAACTCTATTGCTTTCTGATGCATTCCCTTAAGGTACAATGCCTCTTAACCATGTAGTCATGTGTGTGCTGGTTTAAAAATGTGTATGTGCATGCATGTGTAGGTTAGAAGACACACTAGGTTTTAGTTTCTCTCAGGTGTCAACCACCTGTTTCTTTGCAGCAGGGTCTCTCCTTGCCCTGAAACTCACTCCATGGCTTAAGATGGCCAGTAAGCCCCGGTGCTGGGATTTTAAGTGTGTACCACCATTCCTGGATTTCTCTTATTTGAGGCTTCTGGGAATGGAGCCAATGTCAACCTGCTTGTGAGGTGAGCATTTTGCCTACTGAGCTATGGCCCCAGATGGCAAAGCTCCCTTCTGAAGCTACAGCAAAGCTTCTCACTGTTTTGTGATAAGTTCTGTAAAGTGCATACTAATTGTTCTGTAATTTTAATATTTAAGCTCACTGAGCCAGCTGTGGAGGTGGGACAATCCCCTTTTCAGACTGAAACATGTTTGTCATAGAGTACCCTTCAGTACCCCTTGTCCAGGGATAGGCTGGTCCCCAAACTCTTTGAGAAGGGGAAATGAGAATTGAAAGGAAAAAAAATAGCTCGAGTGAAAATACCATGCCTTTAGAACAGAAAGAGTTACTGCTTCAGTGTCTCAAATATGGTTGGGGTGAAGCATCCCCAGGCACCTTCCAAGGCAGAAGACTCAGTTACAGTTCAGTCCGTGATATAAAGATGTCTGTGGTGGGAACAGCTGAGAAACACCTGACCCAGGAGATGTTCTCCACAGTACTCAGTGCTGTTGAGGACTGCAGCTGACTACTTAGTTCTCAGGCCTGCTGGTGTGGAAGTGTCCAATCTGGTTTCTACTGTCTCTGCTGTTTGTGTTACTATTTATGATTGCTTGCTTGCTGTGCACTTAAGTGCACTGACTCAAAGCCCAAATAACAGTTATGGTGGATTGCCCTTCATATGTAACACTTTCCATGACCCATTAGGACTCGAATTTCCCTACAATGAACTGGTTTGCCATTATTCTTTTTGCTTTCAACTACAGATTTATATATTTCCTTTTCAAAGATATGCTTTTTATTGGTTTTTTAAAATTATGTGTCTCTCTGTGTGTCTATTTGTGGTTATATGCACGTGCATGCAGGGCATTGGATCCCCTGGAAGTACAGTTGGTTGTGAGCCACCTGACATGGGTTCTGGGAACTGAACTTGGGTCCCCTGCAAGAGGAGCAAGTGCTCCTAACCATTGATCCAGGCTGTTGGCCCCTGTGCATCTTTCTTGGACAGAAGTAAAATTTAAGACATATGCTTTCAGTGTGTCTTAACAAAACACTCCCTTTTCCTTTTAGACATTGAAAGCAAAGTTATCACTGAAGACTGCAGTGCGGGGAATGTGTCCTTTAACTTGAAAGCTAGAGGTGATGAAATGAATGTTGGCTGTTCCATCATCAAGGAATCAGAATCCACAGGTACAGAGCCACCCTGAGCACCAAGGTAGTGGAGCACTCAGTCCACCAGCTTTGCCAATCACCTGCAGTCCCGCGAGGCAGTTTTGGGTGGTAGAGAACTGATGAGAGTAGGGGCGTGGACAACCAATGCACTCAGAGTTGGGGTGTTTAACATTAAGAGCAGGACATGGAGCATGGTGCAGTCACCATCCAGTGGGGTGTGGCCACCAGCCACACAATTGAGCTCTTGAATTGTGATGGGCCTCTGCCTGGCTCATTCTATTGTGAGGCTTTCTACTGTGTTCTAAAATTTGATTTGTTGAGCTTCTCATTTCTACAATTTCAGTTTGATGGTGTCAGTATTTCTATCGTTTACGGAACATGTCTCTTGTAACCAGTTTGTCTTTCTTTTTTTATCCAGCTTTTTTTGTATCTTTTTTTGGATTAATTGAGTTTATCTGTGTCCTCTTTGATTTTTGTTAAATATTGTTTTAAATTTAGTTTTATTATTTTATTTATTGTTTGAGAATTTTGCATATACATACAATGTATTTTGATAAAAAACTCTCCCATCATTTTCTCCTCTCCAATCCCTTCCCTGCTTTCCATCTTTCCCCTTCTCAACTGTGTGTTTTTTTAAATACACAAGTTTACTTCATGCTTCCTGTTAAGTGCAAGGGTGTAGGTTTATCTGCAAAGATGGATAGCTTCTCATAGCACACATCTATGAAGACAATGGCTCTCCAGTAGCCACCAACTGCCAGCAGATGGCTCTATGCATGGGATGCACAAGGTAGAGTCTGTGGGTTGGAATCTCTTCCTCTTCTCTTGTCATTTCTTCTTCTCCCTTTCTCTCCTCCCCCTCCCCCTCTTGCTTTTCTGACTTAAGGTATGCACTGGTTCGTTTTAACTGCTAACTAGTCACAACTTAAAACCATCTGGGAAGAAGAGTGTTAGTGAGGGACTGAGTGAGGATGGACCATGTCTGTGTCTGCAGGGGGCTGGGAGGAGTCTGTCTTACACTAGCTGATGTGGGAAGACCCAGCCCAAGCTGAATAGTGCAGAGAGCAAGTAGGTAAAATGTGCACACTCTCTTTGCTCTTGACTGTGGATTTCATGTGACTAGCTGTTTGAATACCTGCTCTGACAAGTTTTAAAGAATAGTGAGCTTATTAACACAACAGTGAGTATATTAAATTACACAGAGAAACAGACAGACAGAGACACAGAGAAAACCTTTTAGGCATCTTTTACATATCTATCTATCTATCTATCTATCTATCTATCTATCTATCTATTATTTGTGACTATGCACATGCATACACAGGTACCAAAGCACAAAAATGGCAGTTGAAGGACAACTTTTGGGGGTCTAGTTCAGTTCCCTTCTTCACTAGTGTGGACTGCGTGGAACTCAGGTTTTCAGGTTTGGTGGCAAATACGTTCCTCTGATGAGACATCTCTCCAGCTTCAGGCGTCTTTACAACGGCAGTTTATGTGATTCTGTGGCTCCTAAATTACATTGCTCAATGGTGTTATTTGCAAATAGTTTATTGTGTATGGCACTACTTAGCAAGCATGAGGCCTTACACACACAGCAAGCTCTTCACTGCTGAGCACCCAAGCTTTACAAGATTTACAGATGAGGCAAAGCTAAAGCAGAATTCTACCAGAAATTCAAGGAAGAGCTAATACCAATACTCCTCAAATTGTTCCACACAATAGAAACAGAAGGTTCATTACTAAACCCTTTTTATGAGGCAATAATTACCTTGGTACCCAAGCCACATGAAGGCATAACTAAGAAACAGAATTACAGATCAATATCCCTCATGAACATTGATGCAAAAATACTCAATAAAATACTGGCAAATCTATCCAAGAAAACATCAGAGAAATCATCCACCATGACCAAGTAGGCTACATCCCAGGGATGCAGAGATGGTTCAACAAACAAAAATCTATCAATGTGATACACAATATAAACAAACTGAAAAAGAAAAACCACATGATCATCTTACTAGATGCTGAAAAAGCCTTTAACACAATCCAACACCCTTTCATGATACAGGTCTAGGAGCGATCAGGGATAACAGGAACATACCTAAACATAATGAAAACAATATACAGTGAACCAATAGCCAACATCAAACTGAATGGAGAGAAGCTTAAGGCGATTCCTCTAAAATCAGGAACAAGATAAGGCTGCCCACTCTCCATATTTCTTCAATATTGTACTTGAAGTTCTAGCTAAACCATTAAGACAACAAAAGGATATCAAAGGGATACAAATTGGAAAGGAAGAACTGAAACTGTCACTATTTGAAGATGATACAGTAGGTTACATAAGTTACCCAAAAAACTCTACAGCTGATAAACACCTTTAGCAAATTAGCAGGATACAAGATTAACTCAAAAAAGTCAGTAGCCTTACTATATACAGATGATAAAGGGGCTGAGAAAGAAATCAGAAAAACAACACCCTTTACAATAGCCACAAACAACTTAAAGTATCTTTGGGTAATGCTTACTAAACAAGTGAAAGACCTATATAGCAAGAACTTTGTGTCTTTAAAGAAAGAAATTAAGACTCATGTCTATTGCCATGCACAAAACTCAATTCCAAATGGATCAAAGACCTCAACATAAATTCAGCCACACTGAACCTCTTAGAAGAGAAAATGGGAGGTATCCTTGAACAAATTGGTACAGGAGATCCCTTCCTGAACATAACACCAGTAGTACAGACACTGAGATCGACAATTAATAAATGGGACCTCCTCAAACTGAGAAGATTTTGTAAGGCAAAGGACACAGTTGACAAGACCAAATGGTGTCCCACAGACTGGGAAAAGATCTTCACCAACCCCACATCTGACAGAGAGCTGATCTCTAAAATATACAAAGAACTCAAGAAGCTAGTCACCAAAACAACAAATAACCCTATTAAAAATGGGGTACAGAACTGAAGAGAGAATTCTCAATAGACGAATCCAAAATGGTTGTAAGATGCTTAAGAAAGTGCTCAACATCCTTAGCCATCAGAGAATGCAAATCAAAACAACTCTGAGATACCATCTTACTCTGCAAGAATGGCTAAAATTAGAAACACCAATGACAGCTTATGCTGGAGAGGATGTGGAGAAATGGGAACACTCCTCCAATACTGGTGGGTGTGCAAACTTGAACAGCCATTTTGGAGATCAGTATGGCGGTTCCTCAGGAAAATGGGAATCAGTCTACCACAGGACCCGACAATTCCACTCTTAGGCATATACCCAAATGATCCACATCCATGAAACAAAGACAGCTGTTCAACTATGTTCATAGCAGCATTATTTGTAACTGCAAGAACCTGGAAGCAACCTAGATGCCCCTCAACTGAAGAATGGATAAAGAAGATGTGGCACATCTACACAATGGAATACTACTTAGCAGGGCGGGGGGAACAATGGAATCTTGAAATTTGCAGGCAAATGGATGGAACTTGAAAAAAATCATTCTGAGTGCAGTAACCCAGTCACAAAAAGAGGAACATGGTATGCACTCACTAATATATGTATTATGGATTTTAGACATAGAGTAAAGGATTACCAGCCTATAATTCATACCACCAGAGAAACTACGATACAAAGAGGAACCTAAGAGAGTCATACAAGGTCCCTCACAGAAGGGGAAAGGAGCAAGATCTTCTGAGCATATTGGGAGTGGGTGGGGAATAGTGAGTGGAGAGGGAGTTAGGAGAAAGAGAAGGGGAGGAGAGGAGAACATGTGGGACTAGGAAGATTGAATCAGGGGACAAATAAATGAGAGTAAAAAACAAAAAAGAGGGAGCCATCATAGGTTTGAAAAGAAAACTGACTCTAGAGAAATGTCCAGAGACCTACAAGGATGACCCCAACTAACAATCTGAGAAACAATGGAAAAGCTACCTTAAATGCCTTTCTATGATAATGAGATTGATAACTAAGTTATATGTCATCCAAGAGCCTTCATCTAGTAGCTGATGGGAACAGAAGCAGACACCCACAGCTAAACACTGAGCCAAACTCCTGGAATCCAGTTGCAGAGAGGGAAGAGTGATAAGAAAATGGGGTCAAGACCAGGCTACAGAAACCCACAGAGAAAGCTGTCCTGAACAAGGGGGAGCACATGGACCCCCAGACTGAAAGCTGGGAAACCAGCATTGGACAGACTCAGACCCCCTGAACATGGGTCTCAGTTAGAAGGCCTGGGCCTTCTAAGGGACCTCTGACAGTGGAACCAGGATGTATCCATGGTGCAGGAAAGGTCTTTGGGAGCACATTCCCCATGGAGGGATACTCTTTTAGCCTAGAGTCAGGAGGGAGGGGCTAGTCCCTACTCCAAATGACTTGACAGATTTTGATTATCTCTCCTGGAAGACATCACCATCCCTATGGCGTGTGGGGGGGATGGGATGGGAGGGGATCAGGGGCCTTGGGAATGAGGGAGGGAGAGGGAACTGGAATTGATATGTAATTAAATTAAAAAGTAATCATGAGGACTGCTTCATTCATGTCTTTAAAATGTCTCTCCTTTTGGACATGTTGGTTTCTCAGCTGTCCTGTTTATATCAGGGATGAGTGAGGAGTGTGGATGGGGTGAAAATGTGAAGTCTCTACCCCCAAGTCAGCTCAGCTTCACTGTCCTTTCCAGTGCCCTCTTTGAGATGGTTTCAGTAAGCACATGTTGCAGGGTGGGTTGGTTTATTATACATGTTGATGTGTCCTGACTCTCAGAGAGTAAGAACGGCAGACTGGAATGCAGGGTGGAATTCCTTTGCTTTCTCACATCCTTTCTTTCCCTGATGTTCCAGCTCTGCCTCAGCTGATATAGAAGTAAGTTCTCTGGTATTTCAACCTTAGAGTAAACTAGGGACAGCCAGTGTATGTATGTGCCATATGTGTTGCTTGTGTGTGCACATGTTGCCTGTGGTCACATGTTGATGGTGCCTGTGTGCACATGTGCTGTTTATAATTCCCACAGAACAAACAATTCTGTTTTGTTTCATTTGGCGGACATACAGGGACCCCAGGAGTGGCTTTTGTCTCCTTTGTACACATGGCATCGGTTTTAAATGAACGCTTCTTTGAAGATGGTCAGGCTTCCTGGAAGCTGAAGATGAATTCCCGTGTTGTTGGTGGCATCATGACAGGGGAGAAGAAGGAGGGCTTTTCCAAGACTGTTGTCTACACCCTCCAGCACATCCAGGTTTGTCATCCCAAGACCCTTGGCTGTCTACCAAGGAATCCTGCCACCACTTAAATAGGTGCTATGGCACCTATTTAAGAAACAATTGACTGTTTTGTTCTCAAATGATGACATATTTGGTTGAAGGAAATGGATTCTCACTTCTCCTTTACTATCCTGTGCACCTCTTTCTAAGTTTTCTTATTGGTAACACAGTGCAATTACTGATGTAGCAAGTGTTCATGCTCATGTGTATGTATTTGTACAAGTATGCGAGATGTATGTGTGTGTGTGTGTGTGTGCTTGTATACATGCATGTGATCTTTAGTATATGTGTGACAGCCAAAGATAAATGTTGTATGTCTTTATTGCTCTAATTTTTAAAAGAAATTCTGTCTATGGGTATGTGCATGTGAATGCAGGTACCCATGGAGTCCAGAGGCATCAGATTTCATGGATATGGAGTTACAATTGGTTGAGCCACCTCATATGGATACTGTGAATTCAACCCAGCTCCTCTGAAAGAGCTGTGAATGCTATTAACCACTGAACTGTATTTCCAGCCTTCTTTCTACCTAATTTTTTTTGAGATCAGATCTGTCATTGAACCCAGAGCTTGTTGATTCAGCCAGGCTGTCTGATTAGCAAGCCTCATGGAAACTCTCATCTCTGCCTCCCAGAGCTGGGATTATAGCTTTTTCATGTACATGCTGGGGATTTGAACTCAGTTCCTCATGTATGCACAGCAAGAATTTTTATCTGCTCAGCTATCTCCACAGATCTGAAATGAGTTTTCTTGTAGTAGTAACAGTGTGATCTAACACTAGATCAAACTGAAATATGGTCAGTTTTCCCATTCCCCAGAACGTTTGGTCCCAGATGGTACTTGAGTTGGGTCACAATGATTCTATTCCAGTTATTCCAGTGAAGTTCTCAGGTGATGGGGGTCTCTGATCTTTCAGCCAAAGCAGAAATCTGAGAGGCCCATATGTGTCTCTTGGAACCCCAATGTGGAGGATGGGAGATGGACACGCTCAGGCTGTAAGATCACAAAAGCATCTGAGACATACACAGAGTGCAGCTGTAACCGAATGGCAAACTTGGCCATCATTATGGCTTCTGGGGAGCTCACAGTGAGTATTGGCAGTCTGTTCATGTTTCCCTGAGTATCTTGCTTGAAACCTAATGGGAAGTATTGATAGAGCATTGTGTTTCCCCAGGGACTCAGGTATTGTAGAAGGTAACCACACTGGGAGAAATATATGTGTTAGACTCCAACAAAAGAGGAATTCATGATGTGGTTAGAAGCCATGGCACTAAAGTCAGATGTAATAACCCTGCATTAGTCGGGCTTCTTAAGAGGGACTGGACAGGAGAATGATCATGTGTTAGAGGGTTTAATGATCATATATTAGATTGGTTTGCATGATATGACCTTTGCATTCTAACTATGGCTGCCTTTACACTGGAGAGGCTGAGAACCCGGTAAACACTCAGGCCAAGAAGGTGGTTATCAGCCTGACACTAATGGTCTGGAGGATTTTTGGAGCACCCTGGGTTTCTGTCTACATTGGAAATATGAAAAATCTGGGTTATATCATCCAAGGAATGTAACAGCAGCAAAATATCAATTCATGAACTTGCCAGCAAAATGTACAAACAATGAGGCAAAAAAGCAAAGCCTTTTTTTAGAATAGGTTAGTACTCTAAATGACCTTTAACATCACTGGTATTTGATTTTTCAATAATCTACCCCTTTATGCTATCATTTCTATTTACTTCTTTTCTTTTTGAAATGAGATCCCTGAATCTAATCTCCTTTGTTCAGCTTTTTTTCCTGACCATTACCAATAGCAACTTGTAACCAACCCTGCTAAATGATGATAAATATCTATAACCCACAGAATGGCTTAAAACTATCCACCTACCTCTTGGGAATGTTGGCACCATGTTCTCTAGATTGCTTCCTGTTGTCTGGGGGGGGGTACATGACAACATCTCTAGGGGACTCTGATAAAATTGATAAAATGATCAGGTCATGGGAGAGCTAGCTGTATCTTTTGTTGCCATTCTCTGTGAATGGGAAAGTATAGGGCTTTTCTGAAGTCCTGACTGGGATAGAGCATGAGGCTGGGCCATCTCAGCTTGAAATTGTCCCGATCAGTTTGTAGCCCAAAGCCCAGCTTTGGGTGGTGTTTTTCAGCTTAGTGGCATTACTAAAATCCAGGTGGAATTGTTGTTGTGGGGCCACATCATCCCTTAAAAGGTTGCTGTTAGGAATGGTCACAGTTCATTGCAGAAAACTTAAGCATTTAAAATGTCATATGCAGCAGATCTCCAAGAAGTTAAAGGACCACAATTTGTTAAGTACATCCAGGTTACACAAATGTAATTCCTAGTTATCTGATGGAGACTCAAATGTGAAATTTTGTACAGGAAGCTAGATGAAGTCTTTTTCTAGAATTGGTTAGTACTCTATATGACCATTAACATCATCACAGAAAGTTGAAAATACAAACACACACCCCTTCCTGATCATTAAGCATATCTTTTAGAGTAAATTAGAGCTTTCTATAACTGCTTGCTCTGTAGAATTGTGTGGTATATCTGTAATATGCTTTATGTTGTAGTATGCAAAAACTTTAATTTTACTAGGGACAGATAGATACTGGAGCATTGTTACTCTTAATTTGTACAGGTATCCCCACGATGGCCATAACTTCAAGTAAATGTGCAATAACAGAATCAATCTTTTCAGAACTCAAAGCAGTTGCCCACTGAAATTCTGAATATGTATCTATGGTATGGCATACACATTTTAGTTTTCCAAACTCTGCAAAATGAAACAAATCCATTTGCCAAACATCATTTCTTGAGTACCCTTTTGGATTACATCCTGCAGGTAGTGGAGTTTGGTCATACAAAGAATAAATAGGACATTTCCTTGACTTGTTGACAAATAATGGAAAAAAAATCTTTTTTCAAGCCATTGCTATTAACATGGTGTTTCTTATGAAATTCTGAGGATTCTAGTACATTTCCTATCAATATCTTATCAAGTTCATTATTACCTTGTGTTAGAGGGCCTTATAGACCCATATGGGATCTGATATGTTTTATATACAAAGGATGTTCTCTATTTCTGATTATTTCTTGTAATTGAATAGAAAAGTTCATTTTGAATAATCTGAAATAAGTTCAGCAGCTTAAATATGTAAAACAAATCTTTCTATACATTGAGAGTCAGAATATTAAGAGGTCTTGGAAAACTCTAACAATACCATGAATAGAATATAGTTCTGACTTTTAAACAGAATCATAAGGACTCTGAGCCACTTTACTTAAATCTCTTGATTTATAATCTGTCTTTCCTGGTTTGTCTGCATCAGCATAGAATGTAGGGACTCTAGAAATTGGTGTTTTCCATACAATGTGAGGAAGAATCCAATTAGTTCTCTTTCTAAACTGAAGTCTCTTGATTTTTGGATATATTTTTGCTAATCTTCCCCCCAAAATTTACTGTAAGCTCTCTGCCAATGTTCACTTTCTGTCTATAATGAGGAAATTTCAGCATCAGTAAAAAGTACCACAATTTCCACTGGGTCTAGTCCTGCAAATTAATGAAATCTTAATTTCCTTTCAGGACAAATTCAGAAATCTTTTCTATACAGGGCTTTAAGTTTTTACTTGGTTTGTGTGGTAAAAATATCCATTCTAAGATATTATCTTCTCTCTGCATTATAATTCCTGTAGGAAAATTCATAGAAGGTTAAAATAACCAGGATACAATTAAGCTTTGGATCCAGACAATCCACATATGCAGCCTGTAATTTCTTTTCTATCAAAGTCAATTCTTTCAGCCTCAGCTGATAATTTTCTTGGATATTAAAGTCCTTGTTACCTTGTAAGGTTTGAAATAAATTACTTGGTCTTTGAGTTGTCATTTCAGTTGTGGGTTGTAGCCAGTTAATATCTCCCTACAATTTCTGAAAATCTTTAAGAGTTCATAATTGATCTCTCTTGATTTGTATTTCCTGTGGTTGAATTTTTTGTAAATTTGTTTTATATTCTAGGTAATTAATAGAATCCAATCTTTGTATTTTTTTCCAGGAGCAATTTGTAATTCCCAACAAGGCAAAATTTTATTCACTTCTTCAAACATTTTTTCTAAGGTATATACATCTGAATCAGCTTTTAAGATATCATCCATATAATGGTAAATTATAGATTGAGGAAGCAGACTATGAATTATTTCCCATTGCTGTTATACAAAATATTGACACAAGGTAGGGCTGTTTAACATCCCTTGTGGAAGAACTTTCCACATATCCTTTGACAGGCTGGGAATTATTATCTGCAAGCACTGTGAAGGGAAATTTTTCTCTATACTTTTTTTTTTAATTAATTTTTCATTTATTTTACATACTGATCACAGTTTCCCTTCACTCCTCTCCTCCAACCTTCCTTCTATCCTCCATCACCCTTTCTCTGTCTCTATTCAGAGAGGCGTAGGCCTCCCTTGGGAGTCAACAAAGCATGGCACATCAAGTGGAGGCAGGACCCTCGACCCCATCAGGTTGTGTGGGACAACCCAGAGTGGGAAATGGTTGCCAAAAGCCAGATCAAATGTCAGGGACAGGTCCTGATTCTACTGTTAGGAACCTGACAAACAGATCAAGCTACACAAACGTTGCACACACGCAAAGGGCCTAGTTCAGTCCCATGCAGGCTTCCTGGCTGTTGGTTCAGAGACAATGAGCTACCATGTGCTCAGGTAAGCTGTCTCTGTGCGTTACCCTGTCATGACCTTGACCCTGTGGCTCATAGAATTCTTCTCTCTCTTCAATAGAATTCCCAGAGCTCAGCCCAGTGCTTGCCTGTGGATCTCTGCATTTGCTTCCATCAGTTATTAGAAGATGAATGCTCTCTGATGACAATTAGGGCAGTCACCAATCTGAAAAGTGACAGACAGAGAAATAACACCCACCTAGGTGAAATCTCAAGAACCGAGAATCATAGGAAAGAGTTTTGAGTGTATTCTGGCTTTGCAGGCTTTCCTAACTTTGTTTTTCCTTGGCCACCAAAATGTACTTGAACAAATATTTTCCTTACCACAATGATCATACAGACTGGTCCCAGGAAACTCCAGATGAACCCAGTCTCTACATTCAGCCAGCAGCTAAAAAGGAAAACACAGGAGGCATGAGCACTTGTCTCATCACACTGACCTGGCAATTGTGCATTCTGCAAAACACTGTGGAATGAGGTACATTTGGAAATGCTGATGGTGGGGTGGGTGCACACCATTGTCTAACGGGCCAAGAAAGACTATGGGTAAATCCTTCTGAGGCCTTTGTCTAGAATGGAGCCCAGGGTGATGATAGGTTCGGAACTTCCACATAGCTTTCTTCTTCCACGTAGCTCTCCACTAGCACATTGTGTCATTCAAACCTCAGCTCCAACATTTCCTCCAGTGAGAACTCATTACTGACCATTCTTGGCTTGTAATCTTTCCACCTTCTCTTCCTTGATGTTCTCTAAGCCTTAGGTGCAGGGCCTGCACTCAAGAGTGTGGGACATTGAGATGGGAGTACCTATCCAGAAAATTGTTCATTTGTTTTAGATTTTCAAGCCTTTATCCAAACTAACCAAAAAGCAAAGAGAGAACATGCAAATCAACAAAATCAGAAGTAAAAAGGGAGACATAACAACGTACACTGAGAATTTTCAAGTCATACTTTGAAAACCTGTACTCCACAAAACTGGAAAATTTAAAGAATCAACTCTTTGTATCGTTTCTTTTTTTTTTTAGCCCTCAATTTAATTATTTGCTGGCAACCACTCCTCCTGAGGAAGTTTGCTTCTTTTTGTTCTAGAACTTTCAGGTGTGCTGTTAAGTCACTAGTGTGGGAATTCCTTAGTTTCTTTGTGTAGGAACTTAGTGGTATGAACTTTCCTCTTAACACTGCTTTCAAAATGTCACATAAGTTTGCGTATGTTGTGTATTCATTTCCATTGAATTCTAGGAAGTTCTTCCTTCCTTCCCTCCCTCTCTCCCTCTCTCCCTTTATCCCTCCCTTCCTCTCTCTGTCTCTCCTTCCCTTCCTCCCTAACCCTTGACTCAGGGGTGATG